CGAGTGTGTAAAATGCTGACAAAGGGGCACCCTGGGGAGGCCCAGGCCCTGGCGGGTGTGCAGCCCTCTGCCCTTGCCACTGGAGCAAGGACTAGTGTCTACGGTGTGCGCACTCTGTGGGTCACTGCAGTCTTCTTACGGAGGGATGGCAGTCCCCTTTTTACAGACGAGGAAACTTGTTGAAGTGACAGGAGACCCACTCGGTGGCTGCACCAGCTGTTGCTCTCAGGGTTGGGCTGGCTTCAGGGGGTCAAGGGTTAGGAGCCAGTACTAGCACTCTAGCTCTGTCTGCTCTGGAGGTGGTTCCTAACCCTGGGCCACACCCGCTACCTCCTCTGGGCCTTGGGAGCCCTCTGGGATGCAGCTCTGGGCAGGGGAGAGAAGGCATGAAACGCTTGGAGGGGCGCCTCCCTCCACAGAGCCGGCTGGAGTCTGGCAGGACTTGGGCCCGCCTGCCCTCCTCTCCTGGCCTTGTCACTGGACGCTAGAGGGCGTCGCGGGGAGCAGCTGGCCGCGTCCCTCCGGCTGAGACCTTTCACACAAACCTGCCTTTCACGGTCCTCTGTGGCCACTGGCTAGGGGAAGGCACCGGAAGCACAGCCAGAAGGAGGCGAGGGTGCCAGCGGCGGAAGTAAGCAGTAGTAGACCGTGGGGGCTGCCGGAAGGACCCGGTGGACACTGCAGAACCAGGCTCCAGGTGAGGCACCAAGGAAGCAAGCACTTCTGCAGAGTTAGGGTGTGGGTCCAGGGGGTCTGGGAGCCGGACCTGATAACCTTGGGAAGGACCGGGATGGGCCACAGACTCAACATCAGCCAGGCTGCCCGCGGCGCGTGCTCAAGGCTCCCCGGCCGCACCCGGGGTGGCCACGGGGGGCGCCCGAGGGCGGCCGGCGCTCTGGCCCGCTTCTCAAGCTCTGTGGCCGCCGCATCTCGCGGCTGCGTAGAGAGCGGTCTGTGGAGGGCGCGCCGCCTCTGGACCCGAGGGTACCGGTCCGGACGCCAGCCTGCACAGCCCTGACCTGACTGGCCCAGCCCAAGAGCCATGACGCCGTATGATCCCTGACTTCATCCTGACCGGAGCGGGCCCCACCCGGAACCGCTTTGCCTGCCCCTACTCCAAGCCGGACCTCTGATTCCGATCCGGGCTCTGACCTGGCCTTGAACCCAGCCCGGGCCACCAGATTCCAGGCCCAGCCCCAGCCCCTGATCCCCCAGCACTCGCCCTCGGGCTCTCCGCGCTCCTGGCCATGCATGGGAAGCTCCTGCCGCTGGCCGGGCTCTACCTAGTGCAAGGCTTGCCCTATGGGCTGCAGTCCGGCCTGCTGCCCGTGCTGCTGCGGGCGCGCGGCCTCTCCCTGACACGTGTGGGACTGGCCAAAGTGCTGTACCTGCCGTGGCTGTTTAAACTCGTGTGGGCCCCACTGGTGGACACGCGGGGCTCCCTGAGGGTCTGGCTGATGCTCAGCACGGCTGCTCTGGGCCTGGTGTGTGGGCTGCTGGCAGTCCTGCCTCCTGCAGAAGCTGGCCAGGCTGGGTTGCCTGTCACCGTGGCAGGGCTGCTTCTGCTGCTGAACCTGGGTGCGGCTGTGCAGGACGTGGCCCTGGACACGCTGGCCGTACAACTCTTGGAGCCAGCCGAGCTAGGGCCTGGTAACACAGTGCAGGTGGTCGCTTATAAGCTAGGGGCAGTGCTGGCGGGAGGGGGCCTGTTGGCCCTCGTGCCCACCCTCTCCTGGCCCCTGCTCTTTCTGCTCCTGGCTGCCATCTATTGGTTGGCTGCTGCCCTGGTCTGGGCTGCACCAGCCCTGCAGCAGTTGCCTGTATCTCAGCCCTCAGAACGACCCCTCCGCACCCTGCACCTTCTGCAGGAATTGCTGGCCATGCCTGGTACTCTGTGGACAGCAGGCTTTGTGCTCACTTACAAACTGGGTAAGTGAGGCCTTGAGTCAGGCAACAGCAGGGACGGGAGCCTGCAGGTGGATCCCCAGGAGCCCCGGAACCCGTTTTGTGGCCACCTTCTGGGGTATTAACTGTAGGCTGGAGCCCAGCCTGGCTCTGCAGCTGGGCTTTGCCTCTGGTCCTTCTCCAGCTCTGGCTGCATGGCTTCTGTGAGCTCCAGCCATAGCCCCTTGGGTCTCAGATGGTGCTTCATGCTGACCCTATGCTTGGCTGATGCCCAGTCCCAGCTGTCTCCTGGCACCCGTGGCCCAAGACAGGGGCAAGGCAGGGGCCTGGCTAGGGGAAGGCAACTGAGGCCCCAAGTGAAGAGAGGTGGGCAGCCCCCCTGCTCGCGTTCTCCCCACAGGTGAGCAGGGCGCCAGCAGCTTGTTTCCGCTCTTCCTGCTGGACCATGGCATCTCTACTCCAGAGCTGGGCCTGTGGAACGGTGTGGGCGCTGTGGTCTGCTCCATTGTAGGCTCGTCCCTGGGCGGGGCCCTGCTGGCCAGGCACTGGTGAGCCCTCCTCAGCTTGCCCCACCCACCTGCTCATACCTGCCTTGCTCCACACTCCCTGACCTGCCCCATCTCCCCACCCCAGGCAACCACTGCCTTTGCTGAGGTCTGTGCTTCGCTTCCGTCTTGGTGGTCTGGCCTGCCAGACCACCCTGCTCTTCCACCTGGACACCCCGGGGGTCAGGCTGGGCCCCAGCACCGTCCTGAGAGGTGAGGGGCTGGCCACGGGAGGGGAGGAGTCCAGAGTCCCGGGCCCTACTGATCTTGGCCCTCCCAGGGGCAGCCTTGTTGAGCCTGTGTCTGCAACACTTCCTGGGGGGCCTGGTTACAACCACCACATTCACCCTGATGATGCACTGCAGCCAGCTGGCACCCAGTGCCCTGCAGGTAAGACAGTGTGGCTGGGATGCCCAGGGGCTGCAGGGCTGGGATGCAAGCAAACCCTCATTTGATCTCACACCCCACCCCACCCCCGCAGGCCACACACTACAGCCTCCTGGCCACTCTGGAGCTGCTGGGGAAGCTGTTCCTGGGCACACTGGCTGGAGCCCTGGCTGACAGCCTGGGGCTGCATCTCTGCTTCTCCCTCTTCCTTGCTCTCTCAGGCATGCCCATTCTGTATCTGGGTCTGGCACCCAGCACCCTGGCCTGAGCTGGGTGGCCAGCCCACCTAATAAAGCTGAGCGTGCCCACGGCCTAGCTGTCTGGGATGTGTGATGGGCAAGGCTGTCCTCAGGCTGTGGGGGCTGCCCCATAAGAAAAGAGGGTTCCTAAGAACGACTTGAGCATTTTTTATTCCGCGTTTTGGGGCCTCTTCGCCCCGCTTCTGGTGGTGGGCTTTGCCCAGGTAGTCAGTCACTGTCTTGGCCACAAATGTCCCTTCTCTTTTCCCTGAAAAACTGCCACACCTGGCTCCCTCGGCACGGTGGCCACACAGCCCCCTGTGTGTGACATGGGGGAGCAGGGCTGGCCTGCGGCAGGGTGGTCAGTGGCCCCACAGCAGGATCTCCTCTGTAGCTAAACGCATCAGGGCACGGAAGCTCAGACGCAGGTGTTTTCTCCAGAAACGCCGGTCCCGCCCGTACACCTGGGCTGGATAGCAGGGGCTTCCTGTGGTGGAGTGGGAGACACGGCCCTGAGGACTCTGGGCCAGACCTGGCCCCTGCCCATGTCCGAACCCAGCCTCCCAGGCCCTCACCAATGCCATGGAAGATACGGGCCACAGCCCTGCCCGAGAACTGCTGGTCTGGCCACGAGGACAGGAGATGGCGGACGTCCTGGCGTATCTGGTCCTCCCAGTCCTGGATCTGTGGGTGGCAGGCACGTAAGGCCAGCCCACGCTTCCACAGCACCAAGTTCCGCACAGCCCACCGTGGTGCAAGGCAGGAGACAGAGTGTGTAAGCGTGTGCACGCACTTTGCTGCCTGACCTCACTGCAGGCCTGTGTCCTCTCTTCACTCCCCAGGAGGGGCTGGCACTCACCCTGGCCTGTCCTGGCTCTGGACCCTGCTCGTCTTCCATGCCTCCTGGCCCCTCTTCCTCGAAGTAGCCGCTGAGCAGAGCCTTGAGCCTGGCACTGTGCTCCTCATCAGGCTGCTCCAAGCAGGGCCCGCAGCTGGGGAAGGCTACACTGGGGTGAGAGGAATCTGTCAGCGCGGTTCACCAGAGGGGGAAGCGGGGGTGGCCTCCGGCCCCGCCCACCTCTCCTGCACCTGTGAAAGGCCTGGAAGGTGCGTCGCAGGCGTGCCAGGGCCTCCTGCTCACGGGTTTGTACACGTTCATATAGGAAGTCACAGATCTGGTCCTTCTCGTGGGCTGTCAGGTCTCCGGGGCTGTGCAGACAGAAGGCGAGCTCCCGGAACTCCACCAGCACCCCTGTGTCCCGATGTGCACCTGCCAGAGAGCTTGTGAGACACAGGCAGGAGGGCGGCAAGCAGGGCTGGGTCCAAGCAGGGTTGGGGGCAGGGCTCACCTGTCCTGGGCTCTGGGTACCACTGCAGTTGACGGAGAGCCTGCTTTGCAGGGGCGAGCTTCCAGCCCATCGAGTCGGCCAACTTAACCACGTCAAACTCTACGGAATAGCTTCCTTCGCCTATGTTTTCCTGTGGCTGCTGGGCTAACCAGACCGCCAGTGGAGGACACCTGTCCCAGGGAAAGGGATATGTGATTAGCAGCCCTGGTCCTGTGTCCCTGGCCCCAGCCTGGGGTGGGATGTGTGCTCACCTGCGGGCCAGGGCCTGGAGCTGGGGGAGGCCCCCAGGGCAGCGCAGGTGGCAGTAGGCATAGGTGGGTGCCAGCAGCTCCAGCCAGCGCCGTGGGTGTAGTTCCAGGTAGCACAGCAGGGTCTCAATGGCTGGAGGCAGAGCAGGGCTTAGGGGACACAGGGACGTGGGGATGCGGGGAGGTACCCACTCCTGCCCCCAGTTCCTCACCCTCCTCAGGCATGTCCAGGGCCTGCACCAGCGGCTGCACTGGGAGTGCCCGCTCATGACCCAGGCACTGGGCTAGGCCTTTGTTGCTGGCTTGCTCGGCCTCGCTTGGGGACACGGTCACAGGCCTCTCTTGGCTCTTGGCTCCCTCCTGCTCTGGGGGCTGTTGGGCATGGGTGCAGGTGCAGGGTGGGAACGAGCACTGTACCAGCTTCTTCACGGCAAGGAAGTCGGAGGCCTCGGCATGCACGTGTCTACGCAACTCCTGCAGGTCCTGACCCTGCGAAAGAATAGCTGTAAACGTGGGGCGGTGGGGTGGGGTGGGGTGGGGGGAGCTCAAGTGGGGCAAGTAAGAACCTGGGGCTGTAGAAAGAGGTGGCAGTGTGCGGGCTGGCCGTCCCGTCCAGCCCGGCCCACAGCCTGCACGTAGCTCTCAAAGCTGGGGGGCAGCCCCAGGTGCAGCACGGCCCGCACGTCTGGCCGGTCCAGCCCCATCCCGAAGGCCACTGTGGCCACCACCACCCGCAGCCGGCCCTCCATGAAGGCCTGCTGCACCCGCCGCCGCTCCCGGGCACACATGCCGGCGTGGTAGGCTTCGGCCACAGCTTCCGGGGCCTGGCCTGCAGAGAAGACACAGACAGTTGGGTAGAACGTGTTCCTGGGGCAGGTCCGTGGGGCACAGCCCTGCTGACCTCCCCTCTAGGCCCCAGGTCCCAGGGCTCACACAGGCAAGTGCGGAGCAGCGCAGCAATGCGCTCCGTGTCTTCGCGTCTGTTGCAGTAGACGATGACAGAGTTCAGGTCGCGAAAACGATCACTCTGCAGCAGTGTCACCAAAGCCTGGTGGACGACAGTGGTCAGCACGGGCTGTCAGAGGCAGTGCCTCTGCCAGGCCCCGGTGTGTCCACTCACCTGGTCTGGGTTCCTGTCCGTGGACACAGAGAGGTACAGGTTGGTGGGGATGGTGACTGGCCCTCTGAGGACATGCTCCTCAGCCACGCCTAGATGCTGAGCCATGTCTCTTGAGGTGCTGTGCGTAGCCGTGGCCGTAAGACCCAGAAAGCAGCGGACACCCATGTGTTCCCGCAGCACCTGTGTGGGAGAGGAGCCAGTGAAGGTGCCCCACCCACCCTCCCTTGCCCCTTCGCTCGCACCCCAGAGGCTCACCTTGCAGACACGCAGGTAGCAGGGCCGGAAGTTGTGGGACCACTGGGACAGGCAGTGGGCCTCGTCGACACAGGCAAAGGCAACGGGAGGCAGCTGAGGGAGGGAGCCAGGGGTCCCTGCCGCAGCCCCAACCAATGCCTCGGGTGACAGCATCAGAACGTGCACCTGGGCCGCCTGAACCTGAGGACGGCAAGGTCAGGAGCATCATCGAGGGCCTGCCTTCTGTCCCTACCCATCTTGCTGTGTAAGGCCCCTCCCTCACCTTCTTCAGGGCAGAGTCCCGCTCCTTCCTGGTCATGCCTGAATGGATGCAGGCTGCCTTCAGGCATGGGGGCAGGCCAGACACCTGTGGGTACAAAAGGACAACCAGTTGCAAGCCACCCTTCCCCTGCTCTTCCTCAAACAGCGCTCAGTGGTGCTTGGCCTGACAGCTGTTGCCATCTTCAACCTGGGCTCCCTAGGGAGAAAAATCCCAGCTCGTAGATCCTGTGACTAAGGATTCAGAGCCCCCTGTGAGCCTTGGTTCAGGAGTGCCAAGAGCAGACAGGCCCCACTGGGGACGTCCTCCCTCCCTAGAGCTGCTCCTCTTGGGGGTGGACTCAGGTCTGGCCAGCTGTGTCCCTGCTGCCCTTGGACCATTGCCAGGCCGGGGACTGTGGGCAGAGCTGGCAGGTTGAGAATAGCTGAGCTCTCTACAGCTCCGGCCAAGTAACTGACAGCAGCCCCAAAGGGTCAGAAGAGCCGTGGGCACTGGTTCCTGCCTTCTGCATGTGCTGGAGGGGTCCCGTCCGCGCACCTGGTCGTCCATGAGAGACAGGAGGGGAGAGATGACCAGTGTGAGGCAGGGGCTCCGCCGGGCATAAAGCAGCGCGGGGAGCTGGTAGCACAAGGACTTGCCAGCACCGGTGGGCGACACCAGCAGCGTGGATATGCCTGGTGGGAACAAGGGTCAGTGTGCTATCCTGTGGCCGGGCCTTGGCCCTGTCCCATCCCCCAGCAGCCAAGCTCACCAGAGAGGATCCGCATGACCGCATGCTCCTGTCCGGGGCGGAAGGCACGGTGCCCTAGCTGCTCCAGGGCCTGGAATACCTCAGCTGGCGTCTCTGTGGACGCAGGTGTTGGTCAGCATGGCCTCAAGTTGCCCCCATCCCCCAGTAAAGGCTCTCAGCTGAGAAGCATCTTTTCACCTGCCACTTGCCCAGAGGGCCCTGGTGGGTAAAGTGGTGGCACGGTAGGGGGCAGGCAGGGCACCCGGGGCACAGGCTGTTCCACGGTGACCAACAGCTCAGGCCCAGCAGGCTCTGGATCTTTCTCACTCACTAGAAACAGATGGAAAAGGGTGGTGTGGGAACTCCAGGCTGGGCTGGGGTCATTCTAGCAAAAACACACCTAGCTACAACCTGCCCTCCACCCCTTCATTCACCAGGGAGTCGGCAGCTGGCACTGCCTGTCCTCTGGACTACTTCCTCCAAAGTGAGCAGGGTCTGTGTGTCGTCTTCATTCTCACCACCTTTCTTCTGGGGGGCTGGGGTATGCTCTAGGTTAGGTAGAAGAAGCAGATAGAATCTTTTACCTGAGCTACAGGTGCTCCCCCCGCCCAAGAGTACAAGTCCTCTCCAAAAACCTCAGCCCGGCCCACCACCAGAGCAGAGGTCTCACCTGGTTGGGGGCACTGGGATGACCAGTGGCCTAGCTGCCCACACCGGAAGCAAGAATTCTTGAGTGTGGCTCTGGGCCGACCACCTACAAAATGCTCCCCTTTCTTCTGCCACTTCTGCTTCCACATCTGGGGGCCATAAGAGAGGGTCACGTGGCAAGAGGCAGTAGGGGTGAAGGGAGTGCCTGCCAGCACCTCACCTGCTTGCGGAGGAGCCTTCCACGGAGAGCCGGGCCCCGCACGTAGCGTTTCTGCTTCATGTTGAGCCGCACGTAATTACCTCCGTTCCGCACAGCTACTCTAGAAGGGATGTACAAGTGGGCCATGCCCCAAGCCTGCCCCAACCTGGCTCGACTTAAGGTGACCCTACCGGGAGGCTGAAGCTGTGGTACCTGGAGGCTGTGGCGCCACTGGGGCGCTGTGCCCACAGGGGTTTTCCCGAAGGGTCTTCTGCGTGTTCTGCAGTCCCAGCTTCCTCAGGCAGGGGTCCTATTTGGCCACTGTCTTGCTGGGCCTGTGCAGGGCTCCCCTCTGGCTCCCTATTCCGTGTCCACCTCTTGCCTTGACTGTCGCCAGGTTGGGGGCTCCCTACACTGACTCCAGCTGTCTGTAGGGCTTGAGCCTCAGGGCTAGTGCTGGGACCAGGGACAGATGGGACACATGAAGTCACAGACTGTGACTGCTCTACACCCAAGTTAGGCTGGCAGGCCTTGGAAGCCCCCAGAAAATCTGGGGCCCCATTGTGACACCGCTCCAGCCAGCCAGGGTCTAGGGAGCCCAGTCGCAGGCTCAAGGATGCCTGTAGCTGCTGGAGGCAGCCCGGCCTCAGCTGGGGCCCAGCAGGCTGCAAGGGCACCTCACTGACTTCTTCTGGAGAGATGAGGGCAGCCCCTGCACCTGGTGGCCTTGGGGTGGGCATCTCGGACGAGGGTCTTCGTGGAGTCCGGGGTATGCGGCTCAGGGCTGGCCCAGCCTGGTGGGGGTGCGGGGGAACAGACCAACAAGCAGGAACTCAGGTCT